CCCGCCCGCGCTCCCCCCCCCCCAGCCCCGCGGACCTCCCAGCGCGAGGCACGGCGCTGCGCGGCAGCATCGGTGGCCTGGCAAGCTCGGCACGGCCACGGCGCTTGCAGCTGCGTACTTAGCCCAGGATGCACCAATGTAGCTGGGCATCCAGCATTCTTCCTGCCTTGCCAGCACTGGGTAGAGCCTGTGCAAGGTGCTTGAGCTTTCCCAGCAAAGGTTTCCTTCGGCAGTCTTGCTTAGCATAGACGAGCCTTGAGGTTCCTTGGCTGCATCCGAGGTTAGCACTGGCTCGCCAAGGCAGCACTGCAGCAGCCCTCACGCAGGCAGGAAGGGGTTAGGGAAAGGGCAGTTGCTCCACTCCTGCCTTCCCAGTGAGAAAGGCTGGTTAGCAGCCGGTTACCTGGAGTCTGGAAGTTGATGCGCCTCATTTCCACAGGGTCCTTAGGGTGGTGAGGGGCGATTTCAGCGTTGTTCAGGAGGCATTTCGTCCGTGGCTCTGAATCTTTCCGTTTGCTTTTTTTTTTTTTTTGAAAAAAAAAAAAAAGAAATGAAAAAACAGAAAGACAAAGCAGCTTAGCTTATGGGCCTTTTAGTCTTTTCAGCTACTCGGGCCGTGTTCAGACCTGAGCGTAGCTCCCACTGAAATCAGGGTCAGATGCAGCCAAGGATGTAAGTTACATAAAATGCATCAGAAAAGGAATGAGGTTTGGAACGTTTTGTCAGTGCTGTATTTGCTGTGTTTACAACGGCCCAGTAGCCCCTCAGCAGCTTCCAGACAAGTCTGGAAGTTCCCCCTTCTCACAGCAGAAGTACAGGCAGGCAGCAAGGAGCAGCTGAAGTGCTGTGAACTCACACCTCAGCCTCCCTGCACAGACAAGCCTCCACTGAACTCTGCAGAGCTCTGCAAGCAGAAACCTTTCAATTCTGGCCAAGCCATTTTCAGCCTGAAAGAACCAGAGCCAACATAATCATTTGGAAAAGTACAGAATCTCCTGGCCTGTGACCTTGGATGTAAAGTGCTGATATTGCTCTGTTGCCTTGTTTAGGAGCTCTCAGTGCCTGGCTGCAGAGAAGTCAGAGCAGTGGTTTTCAACCTTTTTTGATCTGCAGAACCCTAAAAATCTGGGTTCAAAAAGCAGTGTAGACACATCCTCTCCCATCACAGCTGTGCCTGCTGAGATCTGTCTCACCTCCTTGCCAGAAGCTGAAGCCCGCTCCAACCTGCCAGCTGAGCTGCACATGTAAGTGCTTCCTAATAGACTTTGCTCAAAATGGGTTAGGTTAGCCGAGGCAGTTGTAAAGTCTTTGCTGACCTGGCTCCTTCTCCTTGAAAAGAATTTGGAAGCAAAGCCCAGTGCTGATCTGAAGATGTGATAACCACTGGCAAGGGAACAGCGACAAGCTGCTGGGAGCAGAGAACGTGTCCCCACACCCTGAGGCTTGCAAACATTGTCCTAGTCCTTCTAGCAAGGCGGCTGTAGAGCTCCTCACCTCTCCTGCCTGGGTTGCACAGAAACCTCCAATAATATGCCTGCAGCAATAGTGGCAATTACTTAGGCAGAGAGGAGGTTATTCAGTACTTTTAGCTGTCTCTTAATGTCATTAATAGCTAGAAGAAGTGGTGCGAGCCCTGCCAGCACTGCATGGGGCAGCATTTTGGAATTACAACACTTTGCAGTTTGGGAGCAGTTTGTTTTTGCCACAGTTCTGAAACCGCTGATAAAAGTTCATTGGCTAAACCCATCGGTTACTTCCAGTGAAAGCTCTCCCAGCCTTGGAAATGGTTTGAAATAGACTCATTTTTGTGGTGATAAACAAACTCTGTCAGAAGCCCCTGGCTGATGGGGCAAGAACAGCTTTTGCAATGGGGCGAGGACAGCTCAGCTGGTGAGATTCTGCTTCCAGTATGCCAGTGGCTCAGGGACAGCCTGTACGGAGCGGCCAGACATGGAGAAAACCCACTTTCACCTCTGACTGCCACACAAATGGGTGTTTCTCTGCTCCATTAACCCAACATTTTATGAGCCGTTTACTGTCACTGCTGCTCAGCTTGAGAAAGGGTCATTATATTTAGGAATGGACAAGCAAGAAAAAGCTTTTTTTGCTTTTTCTGCCCCAATTCAAACATGGTCCCACGCTAGCCTGACACAGGGCTTCTGTTAAGACAGATCTACGGTAGGAACTGTACCAACAAAGCCCCATCACCACAGACAGTAAACGCTGCCTAACACACAGCAACAAAGAACCTAAGTAAATGGCAAATCCGGTGCTCTTACCTGTCTGGCTTGCTGTCCAGGAAAGCAGTAAGTGGAGAGAAGACAAGACAAATGTTCAGGTTAGAAAGGACTTGCAGAGGAAAGGGGAAGCATGTGCTCAGCTCTAATCCCGGTCCCACAGGTGGGAGGTGGGAGCAGCAAAGATTTCCCACTTAGAGCAGCGGTAACGAACACCAACAAAGACCACCTGAGCCCCTGACCCCAGAGCACTTGTTTGTCCAGCAGCCTCATGCTGGGATGCGAGACACACGCCCATGGGCATAAGCAAACACGCCTGTGCAGATGAAAGACGGGGCAGGGTTAAGAGAGCTCCTCCACCCCGGGCGCTAGGTGTGCCAGCTAAGGACGCCCCTGCAGTGCCAGAGCTGCCATCCTGCCCCTTTTCTTGATCTATTTGGCTCAGCGTCTGCTCCCTCTCCTGTCCTCTTTCACTGCTCAGTGTGGCCTAGGTGTGCTCAAGGGGCCCCCATTCTCATCCGTGCACCGTGAGCTGCTCAGAAAGCCAAGGAAAAGGGAGAGATTTCCAGGGATTGTTCCTCCTCTCTCCCGCAGGCTCACATGACACCCCTGCTCTCATCTCCCCACTCCAGCTGAAAACCAGTTTGGAGAACAATGGAGGTCTCTGCTGATCCACAGCACGAAGGTGCCTTCCCTGCATCCCCCCCGCTGTGCACACACACACACACAGAGCACAGAAAGGGGAGCCCAAGGCTGCGGCCGCGAGCAGCTCTTCTGGAGGAGACAGGCAAGAGAACTGACAACTCATTGCACGCATGCCACAACAGACTGTCTGTAAGACAAGCACAGCTTTACTGAGAGTGCCATGGGTTAGACTCTGAAGCACAAGTCCCTGCAACCCACTGCTCATCTCTCTTGTGCCAGTCAGACCCTTCCACTTCAGCAGTTGTGCCTCAGGGCTCCTCTCTCAGGTGCTGGTAGAAGGATTTTCCCTCAGTTGACAACTACAGGACCAAGGAGGAAATTCCCTTTAGGGGCTAGAGCTGGGGACACTCAGAGTGGTCACAGATCTGGGCAAGAAGCATCTCTTACTTTTTGTAGAGCAGAATGGCAATGACAATGCAGATGATGAACACCACGGCCAGGACGGGCCCGATGACCCAGATCAGCCCTTCCTCTCCATCAATGATCGGCTGTGGATCAGGGTTGTCCAGCTGGATGGGGTCAGAGAACGGACTGGCAGCAAAAGTCTGGAAGACATGAAAGATCGTGAGACACAGTTCAGAGATGGAATGGGGACTGAAAACAATGGGCAAGCACACAGTGTTCCACAAGAGACATTGCTGGCAAGGGTGTGAGCTCCCTGCAGCACAAAGCAAATAGTAACAGAGAAAATGCCCTCTTCAACCTACAGAAAAAGCTCTTGTCTGTGAACAACCCTACCACAGGTATCTTCCTCCTCCAACGCTCCAGGCAAGACAGACCATTGAATGAAGCTGTAGACTGCCTTGTGCCTATGGTTCACTTAACCTTGTAGCCAGCAAGGTGCTTTTAGAAAACCAGCCGACTATGCCGCTGTTCTGCCACATCCCTGAGCCCTCTCCACTGCCACAAACACTTTTTTCCAAGCTCTCATGTAACCATCTGGATTTTGACAGTCAGATGGGATTACAGAGAAAGAGGGAAGGATTAAGACAAGAATTAACGCTTAGAAACAGTCTGGTCTGGTGACTAAAAAAACCCCAACCCTTACAATTAAATATAAATTAACAAAATGCAATATGTCTCCTCTGCTCCCTCTGCAGTGAGCTGGGCTCTTGAGGAGAATCAGAGGCACATTCAGACCCACCAGAATCCTAAGTAATGGGCATTGCCCGCTGGTTCTCATGAGTGCTACGATCTCCCCATCCCAGGAAGGATACATTCCCATCTTACACAGAAACCACAGAAACCAAAATGCACAGAGGAGAACTGGCATGGCCTGGTTTGAGAGAAAAGTGTGGGACAGGAGAAGAACAGGAGGTCTGGGCTCTGCGCCCTTGAACTCTCTCAGCCCTTAGCAAGACCGAAATACTGCTACATACTTGGGAGCTGCTGTGAATCCAGGCTGTTGTGAGCGAGTACGCAGTACCTTGTTCTAAAGCAGAAATTACCACAAGCTGCAGTAATCCGATTGAGAAACCCATTCAGAAGCGTGTCAGCCTAATCCTTTAATATCAAATACACAACTAAATATTTATTTGGGAAAAAAACCTCTGAAAACCCTTAATTTCAAAGAGCTCCTTGCTACAATTCCGTAGGGGGATTTAAAAACAACAAAGTATTAGACTGCTTCCTATTGTACATGTGGGAGGAGGCAGGTAAATATTAAAACAGTTGTTTTTGTAAAGCCAAACACAGCACCACTGAACTCGGCAGAGGTGCTGAGTGGGAGAGAGCACATGCAGTTTTCCAGAAAAGAATGCTCCCCTCTCTGCTTGGCAAGGAACTTAGTAATGACCAGGGTGTGTGACACGCTGCTCTCAAAGCAGGATGTCTAAGGTCATTGCTCTGAGGAGCCAAAGGACAGCTTTTACAAGAAATTACTCTTTGTAAAGGTGTCTGACCTAGGGATCTCTGAGCTTAAGTGTTGTCCTGAGTGGATAGTTCAGTACTCCCCATTCTGCACTCAAATCTGGAGCCACAAGCGTAGCAAGCCCTGCCTGTGAAGGCTGGCAAAACGCAGAAGCATTGCACAAATGCCGGCGTCATTGGCCTGTCTGCCTGGACGAGCACGTTCGCTGCATGCAGACACAAGCACAAACAGCTCCAACGGCCACGTGCAAAAGCTCCACAGCTGGACTGGAAGTTCTTTACAAAGAAAAAAACCTCAAGCTCCGTATCTGATGAGAGAGAGTTACAGAGAATGCCAGGAGGGCACCAGGGCTGCTGGCAGCTCACAAGAGAGCAGCCGCTGTCTCGGGTCCATAATGGGGACAGAGGGGCACAAAGGTCTGGAGAGGGCAAGAGAAAGCAGGGAGCACTTACGGCCTCAGGTTCCTGCAGCACTGCCAGGATGAAGATGACATATTTCTGCCCTGGCTCCAGGGCTCTGTTCTCGAAGTTGTCGTAGTGCTTCATGTCCCCCAAGATGAAGTGGGAGGGGAGGGTGCGAAAGCGGGCAGCAATGTAGGGCTTGGGGAAGTCCAGTTGTCGGGAGTGACGCAGACTTCGGCGTCGGAGCCTGGCAATGTCCTGAACGAGCTGGAGGAAGCAAAGGAAAACTGTGAGCCCTGCTGCCTTCAGAACCATCAAGGGAGCAGGAAGGAAGGAGAGCCAAACCATCCCACTCAGGCCTTAGCTACTCAGAATGTGGAGCACAGATACCCCAAAACCACCCTTCCCAGGCTCTCAGGTCACCATCCCATCCATTACAGCTGTTTGCTCTCTCCCTACGGCTGCCTTCAGTTTCACTCACACTCACCTCCTCCAGGTCCATCTCCTCAGGGCTGCCCAAGGGGTTGAGGAACTGTCCTCCTCGGGACTTCCTCAGAGGTACCACCACAATGTAGTAAGCCCTAAGAGTTGGGAATAGTCAGAAGAAACAAAAGGAATTAATCTCCTTCTACAAGGCACAGAAGAAGAGAGCGCACACACTGATGCAGAAGGCTAGGCTTGGCCCAACAGCCCCTGGCCCAACCCAGCAAGCCCCTTATTTTTAATTTAGCACAGTTGATATCGCTGCTCCTGGAACAAGCCTGGATTCAGTGGCAGCGCCATCATGTCTCCTTATTTATTCCCTTTGCATTTCTTTAGCATTCCCTGTCAGCTCTGGGAAGTGGCTCCAAAAGACAACAGTAAAGGCGGCTAAAACTGCAGGGAACACCCCCCCTGCCACTGGAGTACCATGGACTCCTGCCATCAGGGCTGAGCTCCGCAACATGAACTGAGCACCCCACATCTGCAGCTTAACAGAAACCTACTGGACAGGCACAGAGCTCTTCACATCTGGGAGAATCACCACCACGTTGCCATCAGCATCAGGCTTGTGGGTCACCTCTGGCTTCTTTGATAACATGTCAGCAGCGGTCCAGGCTGCAACGTTCTGCTGCAAGCCACCCATGCTATTGCCCCGGTTCATGAGAACGAAGTTGTAGAACGTGCGGGGCTTCAGGTTGGTGATGAGTTTCTTGGTGGTGCGGCCGTCCACATCGACATGCAGCCCGTTGTACTGGATCTGTGGGAGGCGCAGAGGCAGCAGAGTCGTACCGTGAGCAAGGCTGATACTGCTTAAGCAACCAAACTCCTTCTGCCTCCCCACTGCTTCGTTTTCCAGAGAACATGGGGCACTCGGCTCTGCCATGCTCCACCCAGCTCTGACGGAGCTGGAGCAAACACAGGAATGAGGCATTTGAGTGGGGAACTGTCTATCTCTTGCGCCCACTGCAGGGTCCCCAGGCATAAGGCAGATGCAGGCCAAAGCCTTGAGACTTCTCTGGTGAGACAAATTTTTATCTGGAAATGGGAAAACTGGGGTAACTTGCCTAGGGAGGCAATGACTTGGTAACAGAGGTGGGAATGCAACCCAACAGCCCTGATTTTCAGCCCACCTCCTTGATCTAGTGATCAACTATTTCGTGCCCATATCTGAGGCAGGGATCCAGCATTCCTGTCTCTTGTGACGTCTTACTGAACCCATCAGACAAGACTACCAGGGAACGGGGACGAAACACAGTTCTGACTCCTCCATTCCACTTGCCTTGTATGGGGTGGGAGAGTTGTAATTCTCAGGAAACTCCCAGCTCAGAAGGACAGATGTCTTTGTCACCATCTTCACCTTGAAGTTTTTGGGTAAAACTGCTGAGAGAAAAGTGAGGAGGAAGGGGAGAAAGGAGAAGAAAAGGCAGCAGAGGGAAGAAAGAGCAAGAAAGAGAAGGAAGAGAATGTCAGGCACTGGCAAAAGGGCCTGCCAGTGTGGGTCTGGCTGCTGCTGCAGGAATGGAAGGGCTTGCTCCCTCCTCCACACTTTGCTTGAGTTTTGCCAAGGTCCATCTCCCAGTGCTCCCTGTCCCCATGCCTAACCCCAGGGAGGGGTGAGGGAGGGTGCGTGGCTTTGCCCACACACTTATGGGTCTGGGTGGCTGCTGCAGGAACGAGGTGCTGGCTTTCTGAGCATGCTCAGGTAAGGAAACCCATCCCAGGTCACATTTTTGAGTTCGTTTGGTTATTTTTTTGTTTAAATTTCTATTTTCTTTTGGCTGTTTGCAAAAGCTGAAGAAAACGCTCTTCTTTTTTTTTACAGCGACTGGCCCCCCACTTCAGGTGCCAGTGAAAGAAGGGTGTCCGGACTTAACTTAGAAGAAAGTGGTAAAAGGGACTTACCTGGCACAAGGCAGAGGAGCTGAGGGACTGAGCGTGAAACCAGAGTGCTCTGCATTTACTCACGAGCCTGGCTGAGCCTGGCCTGACCTCTCCAGCTCTCTGCCTCCCGGCACCAGCCCCGGTTACAAGGAGAGAGAGAGGGAGGAGAAACCGGTAAGTCCTACCTTGATCCAGCTGGAACGTCCGATACTGGACGGTCGGGCTGTACGGCCCGGGGCCTTTACTGGTGTGAGCACGGATTTTAACATCATAGGCGGTGTTGGGTTTGAGGCCGTTGAGGGTGTACGAGTTCTCTGGGGAGGGGGGCAGGTCTTTTTCCAGCGGGTTGCCGGGAGAACCGGCTTCCCGGTAGGCCACGGTGTATTTGATGATGGCTCCGTTCCTCTCAGCCAGCACGGGGGGGAGCCAGCCAAACTGGACCGACATGGAAGTGATGTTGCTCGCCTCGAGGATTTGGGGGTAACCCTTGGGGATGTCTTCAGGGGTGGTGAGTTCCTGCACAGCTTCCTCCCCAAAGCCAGCCCGGCTTTTCACGGCCAGCTTGAAAACATACGTGGCGCCCTTGTGGATGCTGGGAGCGGTGTACTTATCCTCCAGGGCCGTGAACTCCAAGGTAGCCAGGGGGTCGACATCCTTGCGGCCAAACTGGAGCCGGTAGCCCATCACCTGGCCTTCTGCATCCAGTGGAGGCTCCCATTTCACCAGAAGAGTGTTCTCCTCTGTCTGGTGCACAGACAGGATGGGCTTCCCTGGGACTGGGAGAGAAGAGAGACACCTTCAGTCATACGTGGGACAGGGCGGCTGGTGAGGAGATGCAGAGACTCTTGAGCTGCAGCAATAGGTTCCTCAAATCAGTGGTAAGGTTTCAGGTGGACTCGGTGTACTTCAGTGTATCCCCCTGTGAACTGAGCAGCTGCCACCCACCCGCTGTACGGGTGGATGGTCTTTATCAGGTTTAGGAAACGAGGTGCACTGCCAACGCGTCAGCAGCAACGTTCTGACATATTTCTGGATTTATCTTTCTCGCTTCTCACTGGACCACGTACTCTCCCACAGCTCGGAAGAAGAAACTCAGGAGTCCTGACTCCCAGCCTCCTCTCCTAATCACCTGAGCACACTGCTTCCCAGGGCAGGGAAGAACGAACACTGGAGGCCTGCAGACTCCCATACTCTCCCTCTCTCTCTCCATTATAAAGCACAACTCATGCAGAAAGAGACTGGAACAGATTGGCTCAGGCTGGGAAGTCCAGAGCAGCTGAGGGTGAAGTAATGAAGGATGGGAAAGGAAGCCTGGGCAGCCCCAGGTCCTGAGCAGCAGGCACAAGGCCAGCTAAGCGAGTCTGGCAGGCATCTGATTGCCCAGTTGGGTACAGAAAGAAGGAAACACACAGATAGTGGAAACAGAGCCCAAAATCGGTGCGAGGCACAGGGTAGGGAGAGTTGCTGCTTACTCTGTGCAGTTTCTCTCCTCTGGAGGAAGGGAAAAGACAGATGAGTGTTGGTGTGTTTTCAGCTAGCTCCCTCCTTAACCTGTCAGTTAGTTCCTCCACATTTGGGGGATATTGCAGGAGCTCAGCAGTGCCGTGCCTCAGTCTAATGAGCCCTGGCACTGCCCGACTGCTAAGCAAGCCCACAGCCACAGTTAAACGACATGTGTAGGCCCAGAGGTTCCTGAAGCTGGAAAAACCAGAGCATTAATTCCAGCAGCTCACGCATCATTTACACTCAACTCCACTATTACAGATCTAATTTCCTTCTCTCCACCTTGGTATTTCTTCTGGTTGAACAGGAGGAGGAGAGAGAACGGAGTTAGGAGAGATCCCGGCCCACTCTTGCAGCACGAGGCCCACCGAGGGTCGGCAGGCTGGAAAGCCATAGTGTGGCTAACAGAGCCAGCAGGGAAGGATGCTGCCCGTGGCAGGGATCCTGGCAGAGTCAAACTGGGGAAACCACTCTCCCTGCTGCACCAAGTGACATCTGAACACAGGGATGAGGGGTTGTCTCTGAAACAAATGCTTTACTCATTTCAAGCTGCCAAAGAACGGCTAGGGAGCAGTGCTGGGACAGCCTCCCTTGGAAATGCCTAAGAAACACATTAAAGAAAAAAAAAATGCCATTACCTTTATGTTTCGGTTTTTATCACAAATGTTACTATAATCAGCTGAGCTTGAAAATATTCATTTTCACAACAAATATTGTTTAGAAGAAAGGTGAGAAGAAAGTGCAGACAAGGAGGGGGCGGGGGGAAGTGTTTTATTTTGCAATTGGTTTGGACACTAAAGGAGAAAATTGGATGTATTACTGTATTTAAATTCAGCCCCTAGCCCTGAATAATAAAGAAAGAAATCTGTCCTCTCAGAAGGTATATTGACTCAACGCTGCGAAGAAGATAAGAATGTTACAGAGCCATTTGAAAGATTTTTTTTTTTTTAAAATAGCTATTTCAAGTTGGGGGAAATTGAGTTTTGGGTAATAGCTGCTGTGCTGGAGAAAACATCCCTCTGTGACTGATCACCTGCACTGCAAATCCTAATGGCGAAAGATGAGGGAGGGTGACGAGGGAGGGTGACAAGAGAGAGTGACAAGGGAGGGAGGCAGAGAAAGGCTCTGGGAGAGAAAAATGGAAAGGGTAGAGAGCCTCGGGAAGAAGGAAACGAGAGGAGAGAACCAGGGAGTTAGTGAGAAGAAACATGGGCAAAGCTGGAGGGGGAAGGAGAAGAGGGCGAGCGAAGGAAAAGGCTTCGGACAGCACACTGACTTCACATGGCATGAGGACAGGAGTCTGGATGATGACACCCAAGCATACCCTGCTGTAACATCTGCAAGAGCTGGTGTCTTGGAAAGCAGCTTTGTTCTCTTGTGTACCATTCTCTTCACTAGGCAGGTGAGGCAAGAGGGGAGAGAAAGGCTGAAATCCTGTTCACTTGTCTGAACACAAGAACATAAAATGAGATGAAGATGTGAGTTAGGGCAGGGGAAAGGCAAGGGCATGGAGGGCAGCCACGGTTCCAGCCCTGTGTGTTCCAGGCCAGGGCTCCTGAGCCCTGTCTGTCCTGTGCACTCTGCTGAGTGCCTGTGCTGCCTCCTGAGCCTGAGCAGAGGTTTCCAGGTTAATTATGTAGTGCTGACCGAAGGCCTTCGATCCCTGCAGAGGCAGAGAGCAATGTTCTTCCAGAAACAAGGGATGACGCCAGCTTATGCAGCTGCTACAGGCAGGGTGAAGACGCCTGCCCCCAAACTAAGAAGAAAATAAACAGATAGCCAGGGTTGGGAAGTTAGTAGACAAAGAAAAGAAATTAAAAGGGGAGAAAGCCATCATCTGACAGCAGGAGCAAAAGAAAGAGCATGAGCAAAACGGGGTGAGAGAAGGTAACGACAGCGCAACAAGAGATGGGCTGGGTCAGGGACAACTCCAGGTCTAGACACTGTAGTCTCCCTCCGCTGCACGAAACCCTTCCCCATCCTGCAGAGCAGTAGTTTAGCCGCAAGAGCAGAAACCACAGGAATGCAGACGCTGAGGTGGAGCGTGTACCTCTCCTTTCTGCCTGCAGCACAGCTGTTTGGAGGAGCACGGGACACCTACTGCTCTTTGTCATTCCTCTGCTTAGTTCTGCCATCCTAGCTTGGCACCACATCCTCTGTACTGAGGCTGACAGATACTTTGTCACGAAGAATAGGTCAAAGGGAGGAAGGAATCAGGGTGGTATGTGCAGACAGAGCCCAGGTCCCAGAAATGCTAGTGAGGAAAGGTCAATACTGTCAGTACTTTTCCCTCTACTAGTCCTGAGCAAAGAGGGCACATATATTCAGACACGATACCAGCAGAAGAGAAGAGTGGGCAGTATAAGCCACCACTGTCTTCCTGCTGCTTTTCAGATCTTTGCAAGTCAAAACCATGACAGCAGACCTCTGGCTCCCCTGTTCCCCAGGGTTCCTGCCAGCCATCAAAGCTACACAGTCTCTCCACAGTGTCAGACCAGGCAGGGATTCTCTTTACTTCTGGTGCATGGAATTTACAGCACAAGAGATTACAGGCAATGAATTCATCCTCTGTTGCATTTCTGGGTGTATCTGGGCTTTCTGCAGCACTGGACAGAAAATATGTCATTTAGTGAGGCTACATGTGAGGAATGAAGTGGTTTCCGCATTACTAGAAATAATTTTGTCTTCGGGGCGGCATGGCGTTTGTTCCAAGTCTGCCCTTCATGAAGGGAGCGGGATGAAAAAAGCCGAGTCTGGAGAAAGAGCTTCTCAGCTTTAGGAAACTGGTGAATCCCATCGGTTCAGGAAAAGACTCTCACCTGCACCCTTCGTGGTGACCACTTTCGGTTTGCTGCGAGCACCATCTCCCTTCATGGTGTAGGCGGCTACAGTGATGGAATACGCCGTCTCAGGCTGGAGCCCAGCAATGATCATTTCCTGTTTGCAAGATTCCAAAGGAAAATCACGTAAATATTCAGGTACATACCTGCGGGTAGATCTCCCTGCAGGAGTCTCAGCCCTTTTCTAGCATGCAGGAACATTCCCTGAATCTGACACCACGAGACACTCTCGGGCAACTGGGTAGATGTGGCAATTGGCAGGAGGACGAGAGCCACGTTCCCTTAGCGAGAGGCACGCACACCCTGGCTGCAAACAGTCCTTCTGTAAACACAGCATGTCTCTGCAGGGCCCTGGTTCAATGTGTTCTCTTCCAGATCTACCTCTCGCACATTCCCTACCTCAACACAAACTGCTTCAGCCACCAAAACGCTGTTGCGCTCTTCAAAGAGTTCCTCTTCACTATGCAGTCTCAGAGGAGGTCTCAGCGGTTTCAGGGAGATTACATTTTTTTCGCCATTACCCCCCTCCCCTCTCTCCTCAGAGATATTTTTTAATGCCTTCATAATATTAAAGGGATTGCTTTAACGCAAAGTGCAGGACGACATTTTCTGCTTGCACGCTAAAGCTCCCTGCTAAATCCCCAACACCCTTCTTCCTCCATCCTCTATCAGCCTCACCACACCTGGCTCCCAAGAGCTTTTGTTAGAAGACTGGCCTCAAGAAGAGCCCTTCCCCAGGAAGTATTCAGCCCTTCAAAGGGCTGTGTTGTAAAGGAATACCCGTGCTAAATCAAACAGGATGAGTGCATATGCAGCAGGGTTTTCTCCAAGGCCCTGAAAAGGAGGGAGATGTGAATGTTGTGCATGTTTTACGGTCTTCCTCTCCCCTCACCCCCCCTGCCCCTTTTTGCTTTCAATATTAATCTCAGGGCAGCACTCAGGAAGAATTTGCTCGTCCTCAAAATATCTGTATTGCCCGCAAAGCTGAGCAGGGAGTAGAACAGCAGAACGTCAAAGCAGCAGGATTTTGAACCAGTTTGGAAGCCATTAGCTACAGAGACAGGTCTGTCTTCTAGAAGTCAAGAAACCTGTTCTGCTTTCACACTTGCCACCGAGTTTTATTAAGATTTTAGCTACGAGGCTTTGCCTTCCACGTGACTCAGTTTCTCCATCTGTAAAAGAAAGGCCCCTCGCTTTTGCAGGGCACTTGGCGATCTCTACGACACATGAATACGTTCAATTTAGTAGTGCATTATCTTGGGATCCTGCCATTCCAGGAAGGAAATGCTTTCTCCTACTGCTTTGTAGCTGCAAGATCATGAAAAATGTTTAGCATTTTAGCAGAAGTAGCAAATGCCAAACAGCCAAGCTGACTTTTAAGGTCTACTTAAAAGTTAAAAGCACCAATAGCGATTCAGTGCTTTGTATCACCAAGAATCTTGGCCCTTTAAAGGCACAAAGCATTTGTCCCTCTCTGACAGGTTAGGACTTACAGGGCTTTGAACACCCAATGCTTTTCAGCCCAACTATGTTTTTCAGACACAAGCCAGAGGCGTTTGCAGCCCAGCCCATCTTTAAGCATACGTTCAAGGTAGCCCCAAATTCAACATCCCATCTGCTTCCCCATGGAGGAGCAGCAGACTCCTCTTTCCTTCAGAGCCGAGGGGAAAACCCTGCAGTACTGCTGCGTGCTGACGAACTACACAATCACACAGGGTTGCAGAGCAGAGTGAACAGGGGAGGGACAATGCATGGGAACACCAACAACAGGCTTTAAAACAGGCACACTGGCACCGCAAAAAAATAAAGGAAAAGGAAAATATCACACCACAACAGGAAGTGGGAGAAGGGAAGGGACAGAACCAGGATGGGAGGATTTTACTTTTTACTTACGTATTCAGCAGTGTCATCTGTTTCCCACTGGGCAGAGAACAAGAGAGGTTTTGCACATGAGAATACAAGAGGGGAAAGAAGGGAAAGACAGAGACACAGCATGAGGAAGGAGTCCCTGAGCAAGCAGCCACACAAGGTCAGAAGTTACCAGGCCAGCATGAAGGAAGAAGTAGAGTGGGAGAAATTAGTAGATTCCACTGTGGCCTTTGCCTGTCTTAAAAGACTTCCCAGACACAGGGAGGATGGATGGTATTTAGTTCAGTGCTGGGACAGCAGTTCGTACTCTTCCACAATAGCTATTGTCTGGGAGTGCAAATGAACTGCAGAAAGACAACATACACCTTGTCATAGAGACACTCATCTACTTTCTCCAGCGTTATGTTGCTTGGGATGAGACAAGGCAGCTGGAGAACCCACCCCTCAAACCTTCTGCAAGAGAAGATAAGATTGGAGCAGGAGGCGAGTCCTCACCTGGGCGTCAGCCAGCATGATATCCTTGATCTGGGGCAGCCCCCTGGCCTCTCCGTTCTCCATGCGGACATAGTGGACCTGGTAGCCGCGAATCTGGCCATGCTGGCGGTTCTGGACTGGAGATCGCCAGAACACTTGGATGGCAGTTGAGTTCAGGACCTCCACCTCCACTTTCCGAGGCGGCGCACTGGGTACTGCGAGGAAGGGAAGGAAGGGGTAAGAGTCACTTGGGGATTTCTACCTGGAGCCTGTCACTTCACCTACGGGGCGGACACGCACTGAATCTACAGCCCTGAATGGTGGGGGAGACTGAACAGTCAAACTAGGTATCCCATCACCTGCCATGGCCTTTGTTCAGTGGAACAGGGAAGCAGTTCTGCAAGATCTAATCTGCACGGCTTGGAGATATGCATGGAAACAGGTCCATCTCACAGTCCAGCCATTCTGCCACGGGCTCCTTTGTCCCCAGTTTGCTCAGATGGAAGAAACCATACAGTTCAAGATCACATTCTGAGGGCAATGCTAATTTCTAATGAGCCACAAAAGCTCTGGTCCTGCCTGTTGGATGTTAGAGTGGAGAGGATGTAGAGGGCGATTTGCCCTTGGAGTTCCCTTGTCTCCCAGGCAGGGCAGGTGGGGTGGTGGTTACAGCCACTGCATAATCTCAAGACAGGAAACAAGAGATGTTTCAGATGGTATTAGGGCTGAATTTTTGGAAATAATAGTAATACAGGGCTTCATCTGCAAGAAAACCGGACTTTCTCTGAGCAAGGTATCCTATCCATTCGGATGTGAGGAGACGCTCAGGGAGATGGGAGCCACACTGGGGACAAACCTGTTGCTTTTTTAAAAATTCTTTTTATTTGGGATGGAGGAGGAAAGCCTGAGAAGTTTGGAGTTTACTTATGTTATTTACTTGATCTATGTTATTTGAGAGTCCTACCTCCCCCTCACAGTGAGGGTGCTCTCCCTTCATGCACACATTCACATTTTTTCCTGGTTTTATTTTACTGTAGAAATACCAGGGAAATTCAAGTCTTGTTGTTCCTGTTTGTGCTAGAAGTCCCTGAGCTGGGCCACTGAACTGGAGTCTAAACTGCTCGTCACTGATGGTTTTTTTAAACTTTAACAGAGATTCTTCCTTCCAAAACTTTGAATTAAAGAGGAGCTACTAACAAGGAACGTGTGGGAAGAACTCTTAATATTTTAAAACAGTTTCTGGCAGCAACAGTCTCCTCTTCTCTGATTTAATTTCCTTGCTGCCTCAGCTGCTTCCTTGCTCAGCAAGGGCATCTTTTCAGGAAAAGTGGTGCAGTCCAGGCTCAGAGGCTTGATATCAAAAAACCCCCCAGAAATTCAAAAAACCCACCCTAAAGCAGGGAAGGACCACCCTGCAGACCCCAGTTCTCAGAGGGGCTTGGGGAGACGGCAGCGAAGGATGCTGCACGTTGGACTGGAGGCTGCGTTGAGGCCCCGTTCAGGCTTTGGTCTTGCACCACACGAGCCACAAGAAAGGACTCGACGTGTCCTGCCCAGCGTGGGAAAAGCCCACGCCAGGAACATGTATTCACCAGGGGACTCAGGAGAAAACCAGAAAAAGTGCAATTACCATCTTCATCTGTCCGGACGATAACCGGCGAGCTCTCCGGGCCCGGCCCCACCTCCGTATGAGCCACGACAGTGATGCGATACTCTGTCCACTTCTCCAGGGACTCCAGTAGGATCTGACTGGTGGTTGGGGGGATATCATTCACCTCCTTAAGCTCCGTGTCCTCAGAGTCCAGCGCTCGATAGTAGACGCTGTAGCCAGCCAGGATGCCATTTTGGCTTTCAGCCGGAGGCGGCCGCCAACTTACCAGAATGGCGGTGGATCTGGTGCTGACGCATTTTACGTCTTGAGGGGGGGCAGACGGTTCTACGAGGGGGGAAAATTCAGGAGGGAAAGGGAAGAAGGGGGAAAAAACAAAAGATGGGAAAGATAAAAGAAAAAAAAAAGGAAAATGATAACAAAAAAATCTAAAATAAAACGTACAAAAATTTGGTTTAGGAAGATAAAATTAAAAAAGAAGAGAGCTTTTTGTTGTTGTCTTTTTTTTTTTTTTTAAATGAAAAGAAAAAAAAGCCAACAGAAATGCAATGGGACATCAAAACTGAGATGTTATAAAGCAAAGGACTAAAACAGCAAGCGGGCTAGCCAAGAGGGGTCCTGCCGCTTCTACTAAGTGTAGCTGGCACAAAACTAAGCACCCAGCTTTACCCTATAAAAGACCTTTCCTTTCGCTCCCTGTTTTCCAGCTCTCTGGCAAACCCTGCCCTGGCTGGTAAAGCACTTGTTTCCAAACAGCAGTCTCTGGGATCTTGAATTTCTTTGAAGGGATCTGTGAAAAGTAAGTAAGAAAAGCAAATCTTTTGCCAGGAGGCTTAAAATTTAAGAGTCTGTACCTCCAGACGGAAGTTATTAGTGGTCCACAGACTGAAGGAGCTGCAAAATCATGGTGGTAAAGCCCAAATATTGCCAAGCAATGAGCCCACAATACGTTTAGATAGGAGGATTTCAGAGAAAAGACTTGCAAAAGAGCAAGACAGAAGGTTTGAGAAGGTATTCAGTTACCCAGTGGGGTTTTGAGAGGTGGCAGCAGGTCTAACTCCTGTTGCACTCTCTGCCTGAACTATGTCAAGGTATTTCTGAAAGCCCCAGGAGGACATCTTTGGAAACGTGGCCCTACGCAGCCGCACGTTCTCACGGTGGCAGCAGTCAACTGTCTAAGAGCTGGTTTTCAAGAGATGGGGAAGGTGTAAACCACAGCTTTCTAGTGCGGGGCGGCTCACTTCAGTGTTTTGTGAACTGCAGTAGGTAATTTTTAGCACATTCTGCTCAGCAGGACGCTGACACCAGCTCCGTCAGGCACTATGTGCCGGGGCACACACTGCCATGCCTTGGCCGTGCCCTGGGAGAACGGCAAGAAACACAGGTTTGCTGACGGAGATGACACGGGTCTGAGACCTCGGCGAAATCCGGACAGAGCCTGCCACTCCTGTACCCCAACTGTAACCTGGTCACTTTGGGAAATCTTAGACCAGACTTCTTTCAATCACTAATTACAATCAATGAGCCCAGGTAAGCAGAGAGAGTGACAAATTTTCAAGGCATCTCTGCAAATCTACTCTCACGCGACACAGTCATACTGCAATAAATAGCTCTTAACTCGCTGCAGACACTGCCAGAAACTGGGGTGTCCTCACAAGCCCCCAGAGCATCACCTGCAAGAAGCACAGGAGTGGATAAATGCTGGTCGCCATTTCTCATTTCTCTGCTGCTTTTTAATCAACAAAAAGCTCTTTTACTGAGGAATGATTTTTTTCTAACGTCTTACTCCCATCCCTGAGTCACAAACAGATGCTCAGGCCCAGCTTGCCTTGAGGACTCTGCTAAATCACGTCACACTTTGCCCAGTTTGCGCTGGAGTGAAAGCCTCATGCTTTGCATATGCCCGCATTAAACTGAACTAAGTGGGTTTTACAGAAAGGGTTAAGATAGTCCTTACACTGCAGTGCTGAGCATTCTGTCCAGTAGGACATTTTAGGTGTTGTCCTCCTACTTTCATGCTTTATTGCTACCTTTTGGTTGTATTTTAAGTGTCAGAAGGAAACCCTTATCCTCAGAAATCCCACTGCAGAGGGTGACGATCCCCAGCCATGGCTAGCCACGCAAAATAATACAAAATATGTCAAACAAACAAAACCAAAAGGAACAAACTGGAAAATAAAATATAAATCAAGCCAGTAATTTGAAACAAAAAAACATCAGAAAGGAAATCATAATAATAAAATAATACTGATATAAAAAGTGACTCCTTCCAGAACATTCCCAGTCTGTTTACCTACCTTCCACGCTTCAACTGCTAACTTATAAGACTTTCTTACGAGAGAACAAGAGAAACTGAGCTACAAGGCCAGACCAAGCTCCTGGTGGGTTTCTGCACATGACTGGCTTTTAAAATGCCACCTTGCCCCACTGCTAGCTCCCCGGACTGAACTACTCCCCGCTCTGCCAGCAGAACCCTAGCTATTGCAGTCAGGGCAATTTTGGACCCCAATCCATTCTCTTTGCTACCTGCACAGAGACCAGAAAGGGCGGCAGAGTCCCACTGACAGCTCTCCTTCCCCCTGTAGCTCTCTCCATCTGCTGTGATCGATGCAGCACCAACATCTCCAGAATGGAGGTGCGCTGCTCCTTCCCACACCCCCAAAGCAACTCAAGTCCCTTTCAGGGTACGGAGGAGAAGACTCAACCCTCTTCCAGTGCCTGCCATGATGCTGTTTGCTTCTTTTTTCTCCCCATCAGGGGCTGGTAGAACTAAAAGCCACCTTTCCTGCTTAGCAGTCCAGCCAAAGCCACCACAGCTGAGAAACCCACTGCAGAGAGGGTCTGACCTGACCTACCCTTTCCATCCTGAACCTCATTATGAAAGCCCCAGTAAGCAGAGCCGGAGCTCCAGCTGGCACTTGGGTTCACTGTTTGCACTGGCAGCTGCTGCGCGTGGTCACGCTCGCTTGCTCACTCACCCTCTACGCTCCAGCACAGGGACCTACTCAGAGGCCCTGGAGTGAGGCCTCCTTTTGGGATGGTTTGCACTTTCTTTGGTCAAAAAAGGCGGGGTGGGTGGGTGATGGGGGGAGAAGGCCCAGATCCCACCCGGACCCCCTCCCCATCACTCTCATCGACTACAGCACCTGGATGAAAACAGCCACCAAGTGCTGGCTGGCCATACTGGAGACGCATCTGGGGAAATCATGGCACTGTGAGTTTCCTTCACAATCCAGCCCAACCTGTGTGACCCTGGAGACGTGCGTGCGCGCGTGAGGACAGCATCGAGAAGGCGGGAGCTGTATGCAGGAGGCGAAGTACCGCAGCCCGAAGCGGAGGCTGTGAGCTCACCTCTGCAACAAGCCCCTTTGCTGGAAAGGGAGCCGCAGCACAGGCAAGAGCTCCCCAGCGAGGAGATCATCACCGTGGTCTGCTGGCCTCTGTTTTTACCAGGCAGACAGCTCTTTGGGAACCCGTCCCCGCCCTCCCACGGGCTCCAGGACACACGTGAGTGTGTGCAGATCCACGCAGGTGTGTGTCAGCCTGCAGCAACAGGGTGGACTGTATTTGTGAATGCGCTTGAGACCAGCCAGTACTCACCTGAACTGCATCTTTTACATGCTTTAAAGTTGACTGTCCAAGCCACAAGAATGACCCTTACTGATCTTGTACAATACGATGTTTTTTAACCCTTTAGGTACCATAGACTTTGTATAAGTTTTGTTCACTTCATATACTGTGAGGAAGGGGGAAGGGGAAGGAGAGCAGAGCTAATGGGTGGGGGAAAACATCCTTTCTCAGGAAGGAACAGAGGGTAAGAAAGCCCCGTTGTTCCTCTACACCTGCACATGCAGCCTCACAGCACCCACCCTGCCACCCCTGTCTGTTGATGCGTGCTTTGCACTCTGAAATTTCTGAGTAGCAGAGTTGCCAAGGAGCCCTGGGAAGGTCATGGCTAGTTAGAAAGGGAAAAACAGCTTTCTCCAACCGTAAGATTCTGTTATTTTTACAATCTATGTCTCTGGTACTTGAAGAGTTAAAACCCAGCTACTTCAAGAAGAAAAAGATACTTTACCTTTAGTTTAATGGATTTTACTTTGGTTATGATGCTCAGGAGGAGCCACCCTGACAGGGAGGTGGAGGGTGTTGTGCAGAAAGGTGTGCAATGCAGGGAGGGCTGCGGCATGCAGGCACATGCTTGCCAGCTGAGCTAGGAGGGGAAGAGCACCGAACGCCTCGGCAGGCTGCAGGAGGATGAAGGAGGCTTTGCCGTTTCAGAGACAAGATGCCATCGTGGTGTGAAACCGCCCAGCAAGAGACAGACAGACAGAGAGCAGGGAGCTGGTTTCGCTGGGCTGCGAGAGCATGCAGGCAGGCAAGCAGACAGCAGAAGAGAAAAGAAAGAAGAGCCATGGAGCGGGCCAAGGAGGAGCTGAACAGAAAAGGAGCTGCAGAGGGAAGACATAAAAGCCTGTCCCGAGCCAGAAGGTCTGTGAGCCGAAGGATGTCGCCCGGACCAGGGAGAATTGACTCGTTCCTCCAACAGCCAGCCAGGAAAAAATGTTTCACCGTGTTACAGGACACTGACAGCTCCCAGCTAATGTTCTTAAGAGCGTTAAATTAATGAAACTATCCCTATGAAAGCTGAGCTACAGAGAAATAAACCAGGCCTCATTCTGGGCAGGTGCCAAGTCAGAAAAAGCCCCAAAGCCTTCCCCTTTCCCAGATCCCCTTCTCTTCACCCTTTAGGGAAAAATTTTCAGCATCACTAAGCCCTACTGTCATCAGCTCCCACACCTCTCTTCCAGTCTGTTTTTATAGAACCAGCAAGTACAAATCCCAGACCCTCTTTTCCTCCCATCCCCACAAATCTCAAGGAGAGAAACCCCTTGGAAAACAGAAGCAGAGTGTAAGTTTGACACTTATTTTTCAGGTCCTTTCAGTTCATTTTCCCCCACCCCACAGTGACGCTCCCTCTGACAGTACCATACTGGGATCAGAACCAGCAGATTTGCAGCAGAGTCAGGAAAGGACTTTCTTTTGATACGTAGAGAGAGTAATAAAGAAAAAAAAAAAAGGGAAAAAAGGGGAAAAAACATTTGAAGGAAAGAAGAAAACAAAGTATCTTTGAATGGACTGGAGGCCTGAGAAAGCCTCACTAAGGAATTCTGTCTATGCAGAAACAGACTCCCCTCTCCTCCCACTCCTGGGGGGAGAGAAAGAGAAGGAGAGAGACAGGGGAAGAGAGAAAGGGAGAGACAGCAGGACGTGACAATTAAAACAGAAAGATGGGGCAGGCGCCCAGCCGAGAGCCCACTGCTCTCCCT